GTTACATGGTGTTCTGTGGGAACAAAATAGAGTACACTTGAGCTTGACACAGGTTTATGGGTGTGGAGTGGGGGGCTGAGGGGTTATGCAGGCCAAAGGTCAGACTGCGTTGCTTTGGAAAAGGCAGGTGATGATAGAGGCTGTGTGGGAGGAGGGATACAAGGGAGAGAGGGTGGAGAAAGGATCTGAGGCACTGTTGTGGCTCTGGAAGGAATATCGGGGAAAAAATAGATTTGTTTAAGGAGATACTTATGAAGTTTGAATCCTGATATTTGATGAAATTCATAACCCATTGAATATGAAGTAAAATCCACTTCACTCACTCTTGTGTCATGGAGTGGGGTCTGTCTGAAGAACAAAATGTGTCCTGAATGTGGCCTCAAGATGAGTGAAGGAAAAGATGAGGGTCTTTTGGGGATCAATGCCTATACTGCATCATTTTTTACTTTAATATCACTCAATACTATCATCAAAAACTTAGAATCCACTGAGGCTCCTGCTTTCAGAGGAGACTCAGCAATTTCCACAGATTGTGAAACTCCTGGCCGGTGTATAGTGCAAGAAGCTGTAAAGAGAAAACTGTTCACTTCACAGGCTTTTGAAGTTAGGATACAACCGGGTCAAGAAAACCTATCTCAAATTGTCTTAAGCCCCACAGAAATGTGTTACCCCATAACCAGAAGTCCAGAAGAAGGGCCAGTTCTGGGTCAGCCTATGGAGGTCCAGATCTTCTCCAATATTCTCCTGGCTCTTCCTTCTTATGTGTATTGGCATCATCCTTGGGCTGGGTTAAGACTGTGCAACAATTTCAGACATCACATCTCAGGACATATCAAGTGAAAGGAGAGGGACCACCTGTGTTAAGTGAGGGAACCTCTCTTAGAAGCCCCCCAGCATAGTTCCCCTCATGTACCATTGGTAGGATTTGGTAACAGTCCTATTCCCAAGGTGATTACATGTCAAGGGCAATGGAGTGAGCTCGAGTGACCTAAACAAACCATTTGGAGTACAATGGGTGTTGGGAAGGCAAACACCTTGACCACTGAAATCATGGTAAGAACCTGATGGTCTTTAGATTAGATGTTTAAGATCTTGGCCACACTTAGAACTGCTTGGTGAGCTTTTAAAACATAGGGATACTTAGGCTTTACTACTGTCAAATGAATGAGAATCTTTGGTGGGTGTGAGTTCAGGTTCAGATCAAAGGGTCCACATAAGTAAAAGCAGAGTGATTGTCTTGGTTGTAGAGACATTTGTCCTGTATGATTGGTACAAGCACAGACTAAGAGGTGAAAAAAGCCAGGAGGCCTCACCCAGCAGCAAATCTGTTTAAAGGAGAAATGTAGAGAGAATTAGTGGAGTCTGATTTAACTGGAGTTTAATTTATTATTTAACCTAACTTGAATGTGTAAACTTCTATGGGAACTGAAAGGACGAAAAGGAGAAAAAAAGACACAGGGATTACAATGCATGATGAATCAATAACTTGTTGGATTTAGGTGTAGTAGAAACCACAGTGTAAGAGAATTGATTGAGGTGGAATGTGTTAAAGTTAGGATTTCAGAGATGAAATAGTTCTAAGAAGTAAATGTGGGAGTAGTTACCTCGTGTATTGTAGGTACAAGTAGAAACTCTCAGGAGTTGAGGATGTCAAAACACTGAGAACCTTGAGTTGTCTACACGAAGAAGGATGATGTCAACATATCCAGGGAAGGAATGATAAACTGAAACCATGAAGTGAGTGTACTGAGAAGTGGCTAAGGTGGTACGGTCAAACTGATCCCAGCCTTAAAAGGACAATATTTTATTAACATGGATTTCCACTTGATTTCTGAGATGAAAATCTAGAGTTTCAGTATTTAGCACCTGGTGATATAATTATTCCTACTAGAAAGATTAGGAAACTGATGCTTAGTTGCCCCAAAGTAACCACAGAACTAGTGTAGTAGACTGAATAACGACCCCAAAGATGTCCATGCCCTAATACCTGAAACCTGTGAATATGTCACCTTGCATGGCAAAAAGGACTTTGTAGATGTGATTAAGGATCAAGAGACAGGAGGATTTTCCTAGATTACCTGAGGAGGCCTAGTGTAATCACAAAGTCCTTATAAGTAGGACCTAGGAGGGTTTCAGTCAAAGAGATGTGAGGAGAGAAGCATAGATAAGAGATTCGAAGATGCTGTGCAACTAGCTTTGGAGATAAGAGTCCATGAGACAAGGAATGAAGTTGTCCTCTAGAAGCTGGAAAAGGCAAGGATATGGATTTTCCTGTAGAGGTTCAAGGAATGCAGGCCCACCCACTCATTGATTTTAGCCCATTGAACCTGATTTTGAAATTCTGATCTCCAGAAGTATAAGATAATAAATTTGTTGTTTCAAGCCACAAAGTTAGTAAACCTGTTATAGCAGCAACAGGAAACTAATGCAGACATGATACCAGCAATTCTCCCCTCCATCTCCTGCATCATCAATTTTCCTCTCTCTACTAGAACATTCTAAGAGCATAGGGGCATGCTGTTATTTCTTTCATCGCTGACAATCCTCGCTTGACTTCATGTTTTCTTCAGCAGCTGCCCGATTCTGTGATTCTCTTCATAGCAAATTCTTTGAAAACTGTCTATGCTCTCTCTCTAATTGCTCTCTTCACACACTTTCTTGAACCCACTCTATTCAGGCTTTTGTCTCCACCATTCTCTCAGAACTGCTCTTGACCTTGTTAAGGTCAATTGCCAAAGGGAATGGTCCATTTCAGTCCTCATCTTACTTGTCCTGTTAGTAGCATTTGACTCTTCTCCTTGAAACAGTTCCTTCATTTGTTTTCCAAGACAGAACAAACTCCTGCTTTCCCTCCTACCTCACTACTCCTCCTTCGCAGCCTCCATTGCAGCTTCCTCAACTTTTTTAACAACTTCTTAATGATGGGATCCCTCATGGATCTTCTCTTCTTTGTCCACACTCACTCGTCTAATCTAATTTCTGATCATCCGCCTTTGTGGCTTTAAAATGACAACTATATTCTGACAAATCCCAAATACGTATCTTTGGTCTAGACCTCTCCTCTCCCTCTAGACTTGTATGCCCAGCTGTCTACACAGCATCTTCACCTGGATACCTAAAAGACGTCTCAACATACATGTCTAAAATTAAACTTATCATCCTCCCACAAAAATTTGCTCCTCCACATCGTTTCCATCTCAGCAAATGGCAACTCCTTCCTTCCAGTTCCTTATCTCAAAATGTCTTGAGTCAACTTTGACTCCTTTTTTCCTTTTACCATATACCCAATATGTAAGAAAGTTTTGTTGTCTCTACTTTTAAAATAGATCCATATTCTGACAACTTCTGATGACATTGACTGCTCATGTCATGGTCCATCCAACATCATCTCTTACCTGAATTTTTGTAGACAGCCCTAACAGAGGGGTCTTTTTCCTTTTTTCTTCTTGACATAACCTCCAGAGTGATCCATTTAAAACATGTCAGCTCATGTAGCTATTTTGCAATCATTCTCCATTTCTCTCAGAAAAAAAGTTAAAGCCTTTTCAAAAGCCTGCATGGCATAGCCAGCCCCCAACCGCGGATCTGGAACTTACCTTCTACTACTATCTCCCTTGCACACTAAACGTCACCAATATTAGAACTTCCTGCCACTTAAGTATTATAGGAACATCCTTTCTTCTTGGCCTTAGCATTTTCTGTTCCATGTCCAAGAATACTCCCCACACATTCACATAGATCACTCTCTGTCATTCAAATTTTTCCTCAAGAGCACCTTCTCAGTGAAGCCTTCTCTGACCTTCCTATTTAAAATAGCACCTAACACTCCCACTGCCCACCACTGTCTCTTTTCCTGCCTGCTTAATTTTTCTCCATATATCTGTCAAGCATCATGAAGGATCTAAGATTTTAACCAGATTTGCAAGCTAACAGATTAACCTGCCCTGGTTTCATGGATGCTGGTAGATGTCAGGAAACTTGTAGACTGGAGAAGAAGGACACTTTGATACTCACAACAATAGCTATAGCCAAAGTAACAGCATTTTTTCCAGCATTATTGAAATATAGTTGGCATATGACATTGTGTAAGTTTAAGGTTTACAATGTGATGATTTGATACAAGGCTATATTGTGAATATGTTTCCCACAATAAGGTTTGCTGTGCTAGGTCTTTGAGCCCCATTTCTACAGGGTGAAGTGAAGGGGCCCACATGACCCCTGAACTTGCAGAGTGACTCACAGGAGGAAAACCTGGCTCTAGGGAACTTGGGTGGATTAGAGCAGGCACTGAGCATCCCGGCCCTTTCTTTGGAGGGAGATATATTCTATATATAACTGGACAGCAGGTATGCCTTTCATTTCTTTGGAGCAAGCCACTCTCTCTACCTTCCAAGGCTGCTTACTGGACAAACTTCTTGAACAAGTAGTGTGGAATGCAGACTAGACAGTGCCTCTGCTTATCAGGCATATGGAAATGTGAGACCTTGCAGAATTTTCTCCCAACAGGCACTTACTCATTTCTAACAGCTACATATTCCTTATTTCCTTCATGGTCTTCTTCTCCACTAGCCTGTAAACTCAAGACACTTCTCATCTTAATTTAATTCTTGTCTATATTATTCATTAATAAAACAAAATCTGGCACATATAGGATGTACAATAAAGTTTTTGCTGGACAAATAAAAGAATCAGTGGCAAAATATACAAGAACTAATCAAAATGCCAAAACAGGCAGATGATTAAGAAATTAAATAAATGAACAAGATGCACTGCTTTACAACAAACAAAATATAATACTGGACTTTTTAATAATATTTGATACCTTGGGGAAATATTTAAGTTAAGTAAAAACAAAGTATTTAACCTGTATATTGAAGATTATTTCAAGTTGTAAAGAAACACACACCACCACATTTCTATAGGAAAATCATGAAGGAAAATGCACCAAAAGTTGAAGAGTTTTTAAATGGGCTAATTATAAGTTACTTTTACTTTCTATCCTTTCCCCTTCATTTTTCACATTTTCTGTAATTTGTATGTACTTTTTTAATAATCAGGAAAAGCAAACATCCTTATTTTGAAGTCTTTATTATTTCATAAAATGAAAAAAAAAAGAAATAAAAATGAAGAAAAAGAAACGCCAGCAGCCTGAAAGTACAGACGCTGCTTTGAATCACCTCCACCAAGTTCAGAAATCCTCTCCACACCCTTAGAAGCAGGAAGTTCTGGTGGAGCTCATGGTGGATAGCTCAGGGTCAATATTCTTCAGACAATGGATAATGAGGGTGATCAACAGCACTGAAAGAGAAGGAGGGATATTAATGCATTAACTCTGTCTTCACGTTTTCAAAGAGAGGGTTTCTCTGAGGATGCTGTCAGGATGGGCTGAAAACTAAATTCACGACCACGTCACTCCTTCTACTCCGACAAACATATATGTAGGCTCCCTGTCCATGTGCAAACTCCACCAGCATGCCCAATTCCCACATCACCATGTAAATAAATGCTCAAGTGACAGGTAGTTAGATTTAGATTACAATTTATATTTATTTATAAGTAAGAACTATGACTAAAATGTTGTGGTCGCTTCAGCCCCACGTGTAACTCTTGTCCCTAGCCGATGAGAATGATCACAGTAAGGATTTCGATGCTCTTCTTCACACCTTCATTCAACAAATATAAACTGAGCACCCTCAACAATCCAGGGTCCCTCCTTCAAGGAACTTCTAATCTATTGAGGAGACAACATGTACACCTAAATAACCGTACCTACAAAATGTGATTACTGTTTTCTGAATTTATCATTTATGAGGATACTTGTTATTCACTCATTAGTATTACTTTTGTTTTCCATTTTTTTCCATGTTTTTATTTTCCTTTTTAAATTTGTCCTTTTTAACTCAATATCATTGAAGAGTACATTCTGAGCAATTCTATGGGCCGGGAGCTGTGCTGTTGACATAGGGCCACAAAGATGAGTGAGACTAGGCATTCACAGCCTAATGAAGGAGATCATAGGCTTTCCTTAAAAGTCTTTGTGAAGAGAAAAGTTAGTTTCTCAGAATCAAGATATAGTTTTACAAACAAGAAGGAGAATTTTGAGATCTTTCTTTTGGAACTAAACCTTTATTCTATAACTAAAATTTTATTCGCATTATCTCTAACCTCCCTTCCAAACTTCTCAGTTCAATGAGTCTTCTTTCTCTTCATCCTGAGATCCTCCTGCAGGAATTGAACAACAGGAATGCTACGTTTGTGAACATGTCAAAGGCAAAGGAGGTGGAGGCTTCCAGTGGATAGTCTCCTGAGGGGCAAAGGCCACGCTAGAGTAAGCCTTGATTTAAGAAACAGAGAAATCCAGAGGATCTCATCTTGGTGTGTGCCACTGGGGACACATCAGTCCCTAATGTTAGGGTGAATTAATTTCATGATCCATTTATAATTCAGCTTGGTGAGATGACACGGCTGAGGAAACAGGAGTCATGATAGAGAAAAAAGTCCAATGAAGAGATAAAATTGGAAGAAATGGATGGTGTCTGGGAACAGGAAAAGACATTAAGGAGAAACACCACTGGACCCTTAGGAGAGAAAGTGGAAGCAGGGCCCCAGTATGACTTTCACCTCACCTATGCACATTTGCCTTCCTGGGCCCCCTCCTTCATAAAAAATATTAATGTTACATTTTACTATTATGTAAGGATAAAAATGAATAGAAGCCAGGCTGGATTCATTATTATGTCAGCATTATTAATATAATCATTTTTTCTCCTGATTTTAAAAAGAATTAAAGATGAAACATTTTATAGGCTTCTAAAAGTATAGTGGGCTGTAGGCACTGCTCCTTCCATGTTGAATGGATAAGTCAGCCCTGTGTGGAAGCTCACCAGACACAGAGACTAGGGGCATAAAAGTAGTGATTCCCCATGATTCAAACTTTGGTGATTTTACTTATGGTCTGTTCTGGGCTTTGCTCATGTTATGTGTTGGGTCAGAGACTGAGCCCTGGGTGACCTCTGGTCTGAGTCTACAGGAAGCTCCTGTTTTACTCCTACACCAGAAATCAGGCCTGTCTTCCTGATTTAGGGCAGCTTAGTTCCTCTGCTATCCTGCATGCTACAGAAAACAATCCGTGAAAAACAATCTACAGGTCACTTACAAGAGGAATTTAGCATATCGGAAATTTCTGTTGAGGCCGTCAATTGCTTTCATGTCTTCTGGAGTCAATTCAAAGTCAAAAACCTGAAATAAAGGACAGGATCACATTAAACTCTCCCCCGAGGCAGCTGGCTTCTACCTGGGAACTTGAGGACTTTCCAGCTGGATGGAGGTAAGGAGAGTGTCCAGGGAAGCCTTCCCTGTCCTCAACTTCCAGGTGTAGTGGCCTGAGAATGCTTCTGCCTGGGTTCCCAACATCTCCTTCCCCACTCCTTCTCCTTCTCTCTCCACTTCACAAAAGAAAGGCTAACAAGTCATCAATTCCAAATCTTTCCAAGTGAATTGCTTTTGACAGAAAGGAAAAATATCCCCTTTTTCCAAACAAAGGGACAGTTGGACAATCTGGACAGAATACCTGTTTACTTGACCCAACTTTAGTCAGATTTTTCCTTCCCCACAACCCTCTAGAATTTGACTGCCTTGAACTTAAGCAAGTGTTGGGAGGAAGAGCAACCCCCTGTTAGGTCGTCTCCAAGAATCTGTCGCCCTTCAGAAAAAGCATTCCCTGATCAACTGTCTGACCACACCACCTACTCATGCCAACCCCCAAACACCGTTCTCTCTATAGTAGTGTTTACTCTTCCCTATAAAAGAAAACTCTTTCTTACTCATCTTTGGGACACTTATAGATCTTACATTCAGAGAGTTCTCCCTTTTGAAGAAAGTCTGTCTTATTTAAGTCCAGTTTTGTTTTTATTTGACGAGGCATAGCCTCTAATGGAGAGTACAAATCTTTGGTAAGAAATATGAAAGTGGGAAGCTCATTATTTCACCCTGGGAAAACTTCATGGAAAACCCAGAGCTTTATCTTTCTATCTGTCTGTCTATCTATTATTTATCTATCTATCTATCTATCTATCTATCTATCTATCTACCTATCTATCTGTCATCTACTTGTCCACCTGTCATTCATCTTAAGAATATACTTCAGAAGTTATTTGGTTGTTATAGGGATATGTATTAACATGTTGAGTTGCTAAAATAAAATAAAATAAAATAAAAAAACATGTTGAGTTGAATTCAAACAGAAAATGGGTATTTTTTGTGATAGGTTTAACAATGAGATTTAGATTTATGTATCTGAAATTTTCATAAATTGAATGAACTAAATCTATAGCTCCAAGGTTTTAGAGCAAATACATTATAAATAATATGCTTTGAATGTCATCTCTTGCATATATTAAACTCATGATGAAATTTTTAGCTGTCACCTTAAAATGGGATAGAGCTTAAGTAGTTTTTCACAATTGTCATGGGGTTCACAACAAAATAAGTTGAAGACCACTGATCGATCTAAGGTACCAGGAGATGTGTGAGGGAGAACTTAGGGAAAAACTTTACTTATTCATTTGTTAATTTGGTCCATCTATAAACTTATTTATCCAGCTTCCTACCTCACAGGAGCTCTTCTGGAGAAAATATGCTAAAAGATGACCCAGAAGGAGTCACTACCTTTAGGGTCTCACAGTCTAGAAACCACAGTGACATGTAAACAAACAATTTTAGTTTAATAAGGAAAAACTCACTAACAGTGCCATGGTGGTCAACAACTGTGCTGGGGTGTCCCAATAGTTTAACAAAGCATCCAATCCTATTTGGTTTGATATTGACATACAAATAGGGGGTCATCAGGTAGAGAAGTTGAAGAAGAGGGACCAGGGTTTTAAAAGTTCTCTCGTGCATGGAAGGAATCCAACAACTGACAAAAAAATAAAGATGAAATATGCTAAGTGTCACACAACTAGGAAGCAGCAAAGCCAGGCCTAGGGGCCATAAAACTTAGGACTCTGAGGCCAGTGCTTTCTTCCTACCCTTCCAAGCTGCCCCCATAGCACACAGGGGAGAGACGCACAGCAATGAATGAACAGGGCTTGGTACTGAAAGGCAAGAGAGATGGCCCCCAGTACAGCACCCATTCCTCACTCTGGAGAGACTGTCCAGCCTGTACCTGGAAGTTCTCTTTGATTCTCTTCTCATTGAAGCTCTTAGCCAGGACCACCCCCCCACCCCACCCCCCCCGCTGCAGCTGGTAGCGCAGGGCAACCTGGCCTGGGCTTCGATTGTGTTTCTTGGCAATGGCATTCAAGATTGGATCCTCCAAGAGATACGGACTATCCCTTTCCACCCTGAAAACAAATCAAATATTTGAAGGGTGTAGGACTGAACATCTAGAGTAACGTTTTCCCTAAATTCCTCAGATAATTGACAGAAGTAGGTACAAAATGATATGTTTAAAAAAGAGTTTCATGAATATTTGCAGATATTCATTCATAATTGTACCAAACTGGAAACAACTAATATTTCCATTGACAAGTGAATGGAGAAAGAACTTGTGGTATTTACCTCCATGCGATGGAATATTACTCAGCAGTAAAACAGATTGAATTAGATACCTGTAAAAACGTGGATAAATCTAACAGATGTTGTGCTGAGCCCAAGAAGCTGGACACAAAGGAGTACGTAATCTATGACTTCTTTTATATGTGAAGTACTGGCACACACCAAGCTAATCTAAGTTGAAAAAGGAAATCAGAAGGATAGCTGTCTTGGGGTGAGGAAGAATTGTCCGTAAAGGAACACAAAAGAGCTTTGTTGGGAGATAGAATTGTTCTGTTTCATGATAGGGGTCAGGTTATATAGTACATCCATTTGTCAAGATTTATGCATGACAAACGGTATAAATTTTACCATTAAATCACTCTAAAAAATCATGTTTAGAGTGTGGTTTGGAGTAGGTGGACATATAGAGGAAACAGAATGAAAGAATGCTAGTGATGGTTGAAGTCCAGGGATGGTACCTGGGAATTGACTACACAATTTCTTTTTTTATTTAGGTAACACTGGTTTATAACATTATATGAATTTCAGGTATGCATCATTATATTTTTATCTCTGTGTATATTAAATCATGTTCACCACCCAAAGACTAATTACCATCCATCACCATATACATGTGCCCTGACACCAATTTCACCCTCCTCTCTTCCCCCACTTCCGCTCTGGTAACCACCAATCTAAACTCTGTATCTATGTATTTGTGTGTTGTTGTTGTTGTTTTCATCTTGTACTAATAAGTGAGATCATACAGTATTTGAATTTCTCCATCTGACTTATTTCACTTAGCATAATATCCTTAAGGTCCATCCACGTTGTCGCAAATGGCAAGATTTCATCTTTTTCATGGCTGAGTACGATTCTGTTATGTATATATACCACATCTTCTTTATCCATTCATCCATTGATCACTACACTATTGTGTTCACTTTTTGATGTTTGAACTCTTCCATAATAGAATGTTAAAACTTAAAAAAAAGTGTTTCTTCAAGAATAGAGTTGCTGACATAGGTTAACTCTACTAATCTTATTACCAGTTTGGGTCTCTATGGGACCCCAGGGCACTGTAGGCAACTACAACAATGTCCTTGGACTGGCAGAACTCCAGCAGTTTGCTCTGGTTGAGATAAGGGTGACATTCCACCTGTGAGTTGCCAAGAACAAAAGGTATCAGAATACATGAGCCAATAACATGTAAATTTGAAAAGTCCTTTGAAGGAATATCTAACACTAAATTAATATATATACTATATGTTTCAGATTGGTACTTTTTCCCATGCACCTTCTGAAACACTTTCAAATGCTGTTGGTTTTCAGAAATGATCAAGCAATTCTCTTCTGTTTTTACTAGTGTTTAAAATGACTAAACACTCATACATGAGATTTTGGCCTGTAAATGTCATTTTCTACTGGAAGAAACCAAGATTCCTTAGAAAAATGGCTGATTCCTGGTCTGGGCAAAAAGCTACAAATTGAGCCTAGAACATCTTACACTCTAGAAAGTAAAGAAGATAGGAAAGACAATGAGGCATGTCAAAGGACTCAGGAGTTCACTTGAAGACGCAATAAAATGGTGACAATCTGATCATCAATAAGAAAAGTAACTACATTGTAAGGAAAACATCATATTTGTTAAAATTCATGAACTCACAATGACATACAAATGTGATCAAGTCTTTAGATGTAACCTCCAATTTACAGGGGTACAAAACACAGTATGATATCAAACTGTCTCACAGTGATCAATCAGTAACATCAATTGTGTGGAAAAAGTTAAGGGAAAAAAGCCTTAGTTTCTTTCACAAATAAATTGGAGAGAAAGAGAAAAAGAAGAAGGAGGAGGGCGGGGGGAGAAGGAGGAAGGAAAAATGGAGGGACATATTTTAACTTATTTTGAATTATTTTCTACAAATAGATTTCTAGAAATGAAATAACTCAGACAAAGAGTATAAATATTTGAATGGTTTCGCATAATTTTCTGTTTTACAAAAAAGCTACACAGCTTTACAATGTCACAGTGTTTAAAAATTGGCAGCACTGGGTGTTATTTCTAGAAGGTATTTATTTTCATTATGATTTTTCCATTTCCTCACTTATCACTCCTTTGCTTTTCTCTCTGGCTTTTTCTCTCACCTCTGTGTAGCTGTTCCTGAGAGGTTTCCATGAACTCCATGTCATTAAATCCAATAACTGTTTCCATCCATACTGGGATTGGCTGCTTCTCAGCAGGACCCACCCTATGGCTCACACAAACATGTTCATCCCTCTTCTTTGGCTTTCCTAACACCACACTCTCCTCATTTTCTCTCTCCCTGTCTGGGAACTCCTCTTCAATCTCCTAACAATTGCCTCTTGGCCTGATCCTTAAATGTTGACTTTCCTGCCCTCTTCTTGTTCATTCTATGAACTTTCCCAGGAAAGAAAATCCACTTGTGAGTTTAATTACCATCCATAAAGCAACGACTCCAAAATCTGTACCCCCAGCCCTGACCTCCTTCCTGAGCTCCAGACCACTATTGCCATGTTCCAACTCAGCATCTCCACTTGGATGTCTCATTGGAACATCAAATCCACCTCTGAAGAATTGAAACAATACTCTTCCCATGCCACTCAATCTGTTCCTTCTTTGGCATTTCCTATGGCAGTAAAAGCAACAACCATTACAGAGTTGACATCGAGTCAGAAACTTGGAGACTGTTACTTAAGGAAGAGAGTGTGAAGAGCAGATATCAAAGAAGCCCTGGTGGGCTCCAGGCTCACCTGGTTGCAGACAGGCCTGTACTTGAGCCCTGGCTTGTTCAGGATCATCTCCAGCTGTTTGTCATTGAAATTGGACACCCCGATGGACTTGGTTAAACCTGCATCTTTACACTTCTCCAGGCCTGGGGAGGAGGGAAGTGTGTGGTAAGCCTGTCGTGTACTTTGGTCCATTCATTGGACATTGAACACTTTACACTCAGGAAATCTTTTTCACATATATCACAACTTGACTGAACCCATTTTATCACTTGAATACATTATTTGCTAATGTCCTTTATTGCTAGGCACACATACTTTGTCTTCTTTGTTCTATTACATGCACACCCAGGATGATAAATAGACATGACGATGCTTTTCAATTCCAGTCCCTCCCCCATGCTTGTGCCTATATTAGATGCTGTTAGGCATCTAATAGTTCTTTAGCAAACAGTGTCAGAGTCAAGGGCAAAGAGAAATTCTCAGGTTTTCCTAGTAGAGGGTATGGCTGCTTCCTCTTTCCTAGAATGGTGAAAGATGTGGTGGGAAGGGCTACATAAGGGCAGGCTTCACTCTCCTTCCACAGTTGCTCTTCTGCTGAGTCAGACACAGTTTTCCCTCCCTCCATGGGCCTGTTTGTCCATCCTGGGATGGAGCTCTAACTCCTCTTGAATTTGCTCTTAGATCCTCTTATAGGGCTCCCAGGCACAACCTGATCAGTGGGGCAAAGAAACCCCTACTTAGAACCATGGAAGTTTAGCCCTAGAGGTCATCCCGTTCAGATTCCTTCCTTTACAGATGACAACACCATGGTACCAGGGAGTGCTGTGATGTGGCCGAGGGCAGACAACCGATGGGGCCAGAACCCATTTCTTCTCAGTCCCCATCCAGTAATTTCTATCTTGTTGCCCTGCACCTCTTGGGTGTCAGACTCACCACTTACCTCCCATGTGTCACGAAAATCCACTATGTCTAAAATAATTTCCCCACTGGCATCCTTCAGCACAAGCTCCTCCCCAGGCTGGAATACATAAAGGAGAGATCATGAAAGGGTTTGTTTTTTTAAAAAAAAAATGACCTTCCTGGTGCTAAGGAGCTTGGTCACAAAACCTTCAAGAGGCTAATCCAAGTGTTTGTGTGTCTATGTGTGTGTGTGTGTTGGATAAGAGAAGACATGGGGGTAAGGAAGATCAGATGCACCTGAGAGACTGTAGCAAAGTGCTTCTCCCCCAGTGACCTCCACCCTCCTATCCACACACACCCCTGAAATTCTCTAAGAATGAATTCTCCTACGGTTGGAATTGATTTTATTTCCTAGGGAGAGGCTGGGTTGGATGACAGGACTTACCTTTACTATTGAGCAATGTGCTTTAGCTTCAGTTTATGATAACCTAACTCAGAGATAATGAAGATATCAGGTGTGCTCAGTGAATGTCCACTGTAATGAGATGTTGGAGCAGGGAAGCCCAGAGGAGCCCAGTTGTGTAATGTGGACCATCCCTGAGTACCTCACTCTTGATTGGGACTGAGAGGTCCATATGGGAGGAACTCTTCCCCTATTAAGGTGGGGATTTCCCATTGTGTCTCTGAAGTCTATTGTAACTCAACTTCCTTGAGGACTCTAATCTCTAACAGACAACGGACAGAAGCATATCACTTAGACATGTAAGGTGATGTCCACAACTCTTTGAGATGAAGGCAGTGAGATCATTGAATTTCAACCTTTCTGAAGGCTATGGGATGAGGATAAAAAAAATCTTGATGCTGAAGTGACACAGCTGTCAAGCAGACTCATAAATCATTTAGCAATTCCATCCACCACACTCAAACCTACCTCTCTCAGTAAAAACCCAGAAAACCCAGACGGAATGAGAGAATGGAAGTGCAACAGCAGTGAGGAAATACTCCTGTTCATAACAAGAAAAGCAGAAGCTGACCTTCAGAGCAAAAGGAAAATGAATGATGAAGAGATCGACATAGTCCAGTCCAAGTTTCTTCAGTGATCTTTCCAGGGCTGGTCGCACCAATTCTTGCCGAAGGAAAGTAAGCCAAAGCTGCAGTGACCAAAAGAAATTAAAAAATGGCTTATGATTTCACACATTTGGGGACCCAAATGAAACCTCATAGTTAAAATATTGAGAGGTGAGAACAAACCACTGTGGTGGTCTAAAAATAAGAAGCCCTGAGGCTAAAGTTTTGTGGCTTAGTGTAAATGAGCTCCTTAATGGGATTCTGAGATTTATTTGAGTGACTCTAAGAAAAATGTGAATAATAGTTAAATGGCCCAGGAAAAGCAGCCTAAGTGTTTCAAGGATTAGAAAAGTCATCCCTAGAAGGAGAGTCAAGAAATGTCAGGCAAGGGGAAATGGAACCTACTGTCCCATATAATAAATACCTGGAAATAGTTCTGCTGAGGGGCCCACATTCTCAGAACCATGTTACCACTGATGTTGAATATCATTCTGTAGAGACCTTAGCTCTCTTGACCTTGGAAGCAGGGTTTTCCACCTCAGAAAATTTTACACACTTCAGTAAACTCAATGCTGACTTGAAACAAGTATTGCCTAGTCTAGTTCCCTTTTCTGAATAATATGTCAGCCTCACTTGGATGTGAACTGAGAGAATCTGCTGAAGAATAAAAGGAGTGGACTCACTCCACAGTGGCTCAGTCCATCCATACAACAGATGAAGAAGAAAACTATCATTACTCGTGCTTCACATATGAATGCTGACTGATGTTCAGAGATGTTGAGCAACAGGGTCCCACCCTTAACACATTTCAGGGCAAAGCAAGCCTTTTCTGTTTTCTATTTTTCTATAATGGGCCTCTACAGTGTTAGGAGATAAATAAATTATTCAAACCAATATCAAAGTTTTTTTTCAAAATAACATATCTATGATGACAGCAACCTCTTGTCACTCCGCCCACAGCACCTTGGTGGTGTAGAATATGTCCTCTCTCTTCACAGTACCATCCGCCATCTTCTCTCGGAGGGCTTTGCCAATCTCCTCCTCATTTTGATAGAAGTATGCGGCGTCGATGTGACGGAAACCTACATCAATAGCCACTTTGGTGGCCTCTCCAGCCTTGTTCTTAGGAACCTATAAAATATGAATAAGGAGGGTTGCAAATCTGATTCAGGGAGAAGCTATTTATTTCCTTCATAGCATTTTTACCAGGTGTTTCTCCACGTCACCTATTCTCCTGTTTGATGGTGCAAGCCTTGGTAACAAACCTGTCCTCAGGGGGCACAGACTAAACTCCAATATGACCTCTAATCTGAAATGAGTTAGTGAAATGGCCTTCACTGTAGAACATGGACAATCAAGTCTCAGTCAATAAAGAATTCGTTGTAAGGAAGTAACTAACAGGAAAACTTCCGACACTTGGAGAAAACATCTGAAGATATAGATAGAGACAGATATAGATATAGATGTAGATGTAGACCATATAGATATAGATATAGATATAGATATAGATATAGATATAGATATAGATATAGATACCAGAATCTATTTTTGGCTTAGAATTGGAAATGAATCCATAATACTCCTCCTCCATCCAGTTTCCACCCAACTGGGCTCTTAAGTCTTTCATGATTGTTTTTTTATCCTTCATTCACCAGGTTCTCTCATCCAACATTTACGCAACACACAAGCATTAAGTGCCTCCTGTGTGCCTGATATTGTGCTAGACCCTGAAGCCCTGAGGATTTAACATTAACAAAAGAGACCTGCTTAAAACTCCTAAAAGAAAACATGTTGATAAGCTCCTTGACTTTGGTCTTGGCGATCATATTTTGGATTTGATACCAAAAGCAAAGGTAATAAATGCAAAAATAAACAGGTGGGAATACATCAAAATAAAAAGTTTCCACACAGCAAAGGAAACCATCAACAAAATTAAATAACAACCAATGGAATTGGAGAAAATATTTGCAAATCACATATCTGATAGGGGGTCAATATTCTAAATCTACAAAGAACCCATACAACTGAATAGCAAAACAATAAACAACCCAATTTAAAAATAGGTAAAGGATATGAAGAGACATTTTTCCAAAGAAGACATACAAATAGCAAATGGGTACCTGAAAACCTGCTCAACATCACCAATCATTAGGGAAATGCAAAGGAAAACCACAATGAGATATCACCTCTCACCTGTTAGGATGGTCATTATCAAAAAGACAAGAGATAACAAATGCTGGCAAGGATGTGGAGAAAAGGGAACCCTTGTATACTGTTGGTGGGAATGTAAATTGGTGCAGCCTCTGAGGAAAACAGTGTGGAGATGCCTCAGTAAATGAAAGATAGAATTACCACATGATCCAGCAATTCCACTTCTGGGCATTTTTTTAGAGGAAACAAAATCATTATCTCAAAGAAATGCATGTACTCCCATGTTCATTTCAGCATTATTTCCAATAGCCAAAGTATGAAAACAACCTATGTGTCCATTGATGGATAAATGGATAAATAATACGTGGGTTATATATATACCATGGAATATTACTTGGCTTTGAACAAGAAGGAAAGCTTGTCATTTTCAACAATATGGATGAAGCTGAAGGGTATTATACTAAGTGAAATAAGCTAGACAGAGAAAGACAAATACTGCACAGTGGAATCTGAAAAAGAATTGAGTTCATAGAAACAGAGGGTAGAAAAGTAGTTGCCAGGGGCTGGGGGTGGGGGAAAAAGGGAGATGTTGGTAAAATGGTATAAACTTTCAGCTACAAAACAAATAAGGTCTGGGGATCGGATGTATAACATGGTAACTACAGTTGATAACAGTGTATTGTATAATTTAATTTTGCTAAGAGAATAGAATTTAAACATCTCCACCAGGAAAAAAAAGATAAATATGTGAAGTGAAGGATATGTTAAACTTGATGGGGGGATCTTTTCACAATGTATACATATGTCAAATCTCATCTCTTACACTTTAATCATCTTAGAATTTTATTTGTCAGTTTTACCTCAATAAAGCTGAAAAAAATTTAAAAAATAATGTGTACCAATTGGATTAAAGGGAGAAGAGTAGTTAATTTTCAGGAAGGTTATGAGGAGGATTAAATGAGAAACATACTATATAGAGTACATTATTGTGATAGTCATATTTGTCTCTCTGCCTATACCTGCTTGGCACTCAACATATCCGTGTACACTGACCTAGACTTCCAACTGGGAGCAACTATGACTCTGCCTGGGGGATTTCTATCACCACCAGAGTCTTCAGGAGATGCTCTCGATAATTAGGTAAAGAGGAGGTCTTGTCCACTGGTTGCTACTTAACCTCTATACCTGATCACGGCTGTACTTACATGATGGGCCCATGAATGGAGCAGCCATGTTGGAAGGAATTGGGACCATGCATGGGCCAACTGCATGGGCTACTTCTCACCAAGGCTGTTTGAGCTCCCGCTACTTTGACATCAGTGACCTGTCAGCAGCAGCAGGGACTGACACTGAGTCTTGGTAAAGAACCATTTCTCCCGGAAACAAGCCAGCCCCTGGGTGGTGAGCTGATCATATTAAACTCTCAATCTAACTGGGGATGGAAGCAGCAATTCATCTTTACTGAAACTGATCACATTCTACTTATGAGTTGCCATCTATTTTCCCAGTCCCTCAGTCAGCGTTACTATGTAAGAGCTACAGAGAGTTGGGTTTATCATTATAGGATCCCATGTAACATTGCCTACTTGTTGTATTCTCTGTGGTCCTTTTCTATCTTTAACAACAGTAATAAAAGTTGGATATAACCTAGGTAAGACATACTTTATCCTTAAGCTATAATGGTGAATACCTTGGATAATTATGATGTTGCAAGCAAACTGGCCCGGTCTGACAGCTATTAGCTATTGATATTTCATGTCATAGCTCTACCAAGATAGAGTGTATTGGTCTCTGTAATTATGGGGGCAATCCCTCGCAAACAGCCCCAAAACTGCCCCTACCTCACTGTGACCAGAGTTTGACACTTTTAGCATGTTGCAGTCGACCATGTGGATGTGTGAAGAATACATTTGGTGAGATGCACAATTCTGTCTCCATTGTCATTTTATGCCTCCTAAGTCTTCTTTTCTAAACACCTAAAACTTGGGATATTATTGGCTTCTGATATGACAAAATATTGCAGTGACGGAAACTTTGGCAAATTCTTTGGCAAACACTTAGAGCCCCTGAAACCTACAGCAAAGCTGCTACAAAGCAGTCATGTTACTTGTCCTTTCCTCCTATGCCCACTGCCCGTCAGGAGTTTCTAACAAAGAGCAGAGTGACTCTGACTGAGGCAGCAGATGAGCGCAGGGAGAGCAGCCTCAGCTTTGATTTTACATGTGTAAGAAAAAAAATAATAATAGTAAACCTAGGAGAGTTGTTGAGGAATTGAAGACAATGCACGGAAACTACTTAAAATACATGGTAAGCATTCAATATATGTTAAATAAACAAAATAATATAACTTTAAGCCACCCTCAAAATCCCCATCCTCGGAATCCCCATAGTTAACAGCTTCTCATCCCACTTAGTGCAATGTTAGAGATGGTGAAATGGAGGCTCAAATGAGTCATTTCAAATCAACAAGAGTGTACTAGGCATGGGGAGCGGGTCTGCTGACCACGCTTCCAGGCTGTTTGCATTCAACCCTCCAATCCCCTGGGCTCCACTTACTTCATCTGAAGCAGAAGTGCCAAATCCAAGCACAGGCATAAAGTTCCCATCATTCAGTGTCACAGAACGACTATGGTTGAGGTCCATCGCTGTCCACAGTCCTGGATAACCTGACTCTGTCTTTCCTTCCTTTCCCTAACTGTGAGCCGAGTACGAGACAAGGCTCCAGCATTCTTTATTTCTACTAATAACAAGATAGTGGGGCTGGGATTTCAGACGCCAGTGATTTCAAAGTGAAACTAGAATCAAGCCACTGCCTGTTTTATAATTCTTTCATGTCTCTACAGGCATATCTTACAGGAATAGAATGCAGAAATGTTATGCATGCTACAGGAGTTTGAATTTTCTCTTCAGTATTGCTCATCCTTGACTCTTAAGTTAAAAATAAATTTAACCATGTCAATTTGTCCTTGATAATTACATCAGACTTACCTTACAAGGTGCAAAATAATCAGTAGATTGGTCATTTCTAAATATGAATTCCACTGTAAGACTTTAGTTAAATACCTCACCCTTCATTTTGTCAAAAATCCCATCAATAAGATTTATTCAGAATTTCTTGAACAAAGACTAACTCCTACGCCCAGCGTACATATAACAAAATGCCTCAGGAGCCCCACCGCTAATTCTATTATCTTTTTTCTTACATCAAGATCTCATTTCCCCTTCTGATTTCTGTGTCTTGCTTCTTTGAATCTTTGTGGCAAGAAAAAACTATTATTGTGCATCAACAATATGCTGCTCCTTTGGGGATACTAGGGCAGGCTCTGACTTATAGGATAGACTATATATCACAGAGGGCCTAGGCTGGACATTCAGAATTCTCCAGCCTCCCAAGATTCACTGGCTTGTCCATTGGGACTTGTGCGTGACCAATCTGGATAAATGGAATTGGCGGGCATTCAAACATTCCCCATTATAGAATCAGGCTGAACAAGAAAACCGTATGTCAAGAGACCTCAGGATTTCCTGGTCCTGGAGGAGTGGGTACCCTAGAGTTATAAATAAGTAATGCTTGTGTTCACCAGTAAATAATTGCTTGATTTTTCTGCTCACTCATTCCCTACAAGAGAATTGTCAGTGTACAGAAAACAGCAAATATTTGCTGAGCAAAGGGTACATTAAGTTTTAAAAAAATAAAATACAGTTATGTTGCCAGCAGTACTCATCCCTTGGGTGTGACCCATTTTGTCTAATGAATTCTCTGGGGGAGAGTGGGGTCATGTGGTGTTCTGTGGGAGCAAAAATAGAGTATGCTTGTGCTTGACACAGGTTTATGGGTGTGGAGTTGGGGGTTGAGGGGCTGTGCAGGCCAAAGTCAGACTGCATTGCTTTGGAAAAGGCAGGAGATGGTAGAGGTTGTATGGGAGGAGGGATGGAAGGGAGGGAGGGTGGAGAGAGGATATGAGGCACTGTTTTTGCCCTGGGAGGAATTTTGGGGAATAAACAGAGACATTTGAGGAGATATTTATAAGGTTCGAATTAGGGTGTTTGATGAAATTCATAACCCATGGAATTTGAAGTAAAATCTACTTCACTCACTATTGTGTCAGAGGAGTTCTGTCTGAAGAACAAAATGTGCCCTGAATGTGGCCTCAAGACAAGTGAAGGAAAAGCTGAGCCTCTTTAGGAGATCACTACCTCCACTGCATCATTTTGTATTTTATTATAACTCAATACAATCCAACCCTTAGAATTGACTGGGGCTCCTGCTCCCAGAGGATGACTTAGCAACTTCCACAGATTGTGAAACTCCTGGCTGGTGTGTAGTGCAGGGAGTTGTAAAGAGAAAATTTTCATCAACGGCTGCTTCAGTTAGGATACAGCCAGGTCAAAAAAACCTATGGGTTTAAGCCTCACAGAAATGTGTTATGCCCATAACAAGAAGTCCAGCTTCTTGGGAAGGGCTAGCTCTGGGTCAGCCTAGGGACATCCAGATCTTCTCCTATATTCTCTTGGCTCTTTCTTCTTGTGTGTATTGGCATCACCCTTGGGCTGGGGGAAGACGGTGCAGCAATATTAGACATCACAATGCAACAGGACATATCCAGTCAAAGGAGAGGGGCCACCTGTTTTAAGAAGTGAGGGAACCTCTTTTAGAAGCCCCCCAGCACAGTTCGCCTCATGTGTCAGTGGCCAGGATTGGGTCACAGTCCTCTTCCCAAGGTAATTACATGTCAAGGGCAATGGAGTGAACATGAGTGACCTAATCCAACCATTTGGAGTACAATGGGTGTTGGGAAGGCAAACACCTTGACCACTGAAATCATAGTGACAACCAGATGTTCTATAGATTAGACATTTGAGATCTTGGCCACACCTAGAACTGCTTAGTGAGCTTTTAAAACATAGGGATACCTAGACTTTACTACAGTCAAATGAATGAGAATTTCCAGTTGGTGTGGGTCTCAGCTTCAGAGAAAAGTGTTCACATAAATAAAAGCAGATCGATTGTCTTGGTTGTAAAGACATTTGTCCTGTATGATTGGTCCAATGACAGACTAAGAGGTGACAGAGACAGGAGACCTCACCCTGCACCAATCTGTTTAAAGGACAAGTGTAGAGAGAATGAGTGGAGTCTGACTTAACTTCAATTTAATGTATTAGTTAATCTGATTGGAATACGTAAACTTCATGGGAATTGAAAGGATGAAAAGGAGAAAAAAAGGCTCAGTGATTACAATTCATGATGAATCAAGGACCTGGTGGATTGTCGTGTAGTTGAAACCACAGAGTAAGAAAATGGATCAAGGTGAAGTGTGTTAAAGTTACGATTTCAGAGCTAAAACAGTTCTCAGAAGTTAACATGGGAATAGTTCCCTCATGTAGTCTAGCTACAAGTAGAAACTCTCAGGAGTTGAGACATCAGAACACTGAGAAGCTTGAGTTGTCTGCATGAACAAAGATGATGTCAGCACATCCTGAGAAGGAATTATAAACAAAGACCATGAAGGGAGTGCACTGAGAAGTGGGTAAGATAATAGGGTCAAGATGATATCAGCCTTAAAAGAACAGTTTCCTGCATCCTTCTTTCTAAGGAATTTTATATCCAGATGCAATGGGCTGTTGTCTGACCCTTCCCCTATTCTAACCTTTGATCTGGTCACATTGCATTCTGAGTATTAGATTCCAAACCAATGGTCAATTTCAGTCCTCATCTTACTTGTTCTATTAGTAGCATTTGACTCTTCTCCTTGAAACAGTTCCTCCACTTGCCTTCCAAGGTAGAACCATCTCCCACTTTCCCAATGGGTGGGTGCTAGAACTACTGAAAACATGGCAGCTGCTGTTGTATCCCTCAGAAAAGAGGGATATCACCCTGATATCTCCCTCCAATTCTAGGCTCTCATCAGTGCCTCCAAATACCCAAACCTAGCTGGAAATCAGGAGGCAGGGAAGCCAGGACGCAGCCTGCAGAGATCAGCTCTCCTGGTTATGGCTGCAGGAAAAGGGTAAGGAAGGGCTCTGAGGGCCAGCAGTGTAGCATCAATCAACTAAGCTGGTCCTGGCCCAGCATCCTGAACTGGGTATTGATGAAATATAGCCTCCTTTTTGTAGGAAAGGAAAAAGTTTCCTCTATCCTGCTAGGTTCTTTTGGATGGTCTATTAATTAAATGGCCATAAGATAAATTAACAGGAGAAAAACAAATTTCAATTGTGTATATACAGGAGCCCCATAAAGACATGAGAGTCTCCCCAACAGTCAGACAATTGAGGCTTGTATGCCATCCTGAGCTAAGGAAAAGGCTTTAGGGGTCTGGGGCTTCAAAGGGAATGAAGACAATTCACAGGAAGATGGGAAGAGCAAACGTTTGGTAAACAAATATTCCTCATACCACACAGAGACGATGGGATACAGAGAGGACTTTGAACAAACTGGCCCCGCCAGGCTCCCCGCCAGCCTGCCACACCTAGCCCATACTCTTTGAGGTTGTCTCTGGTGATAGTTCTCTTCCCGTTCCAGGCCTTCTATCTAAATTCTTTTAAGCAGTTAGAGGGGGAAGTAAAAAGCTCTTCCTGAGTCTTTGGGGCCTTGACTGAGTTCAGCTCAAAGGAATCCACATGCTAAAATGGCACATTTTGCGGAGGCTCATTCTGAACCCCTTCATTTTGTACTCCATGCAGATGGGGCCAGAACATCGGATTATGTATTAGAATGTAAACTGAGTGGGGTAACTAAAATATGTTAAAATTTACTTCCAGGGAAATGCTCAAATTCTTTAGCATTCACAAGATTCAGGTCACCTTTGCCAAAAGTGGGGATTAGCACAGGCGGCGTTACATAAAATGTCCTAACCAGAATTCAGATCAGCAAATATTTACTCAGTCTCTCATACATGCAAAACACTGTTCCTAATTTTTTTTTGGAGATCATGCACGTAAGAACAAGTCTAAGAGTTTTGAAATTTTCCTGTGCACGGCAACATCCTCAAATCTTTCCCTGGCACTAAAATAACGACCTCCTTTGAAACAAGGACGTTGGGGTAGTTATTGCTGGATCTTGTCCCCTAGTTCCTAGTCCCTAGTCCCGGGAGTAAACTCCTTCCCAAACTACAGCCTAAAAGACCAAGGATTACACTGTGGATTACGGCACAGAAAAACTTCAGGAACTGGAGTGCTGATGGCTCCACCATCTATAGGTTATAACACCCTTGGCCAGGGGAGCCCAGTAGACTGAACATCTGGCTTTTCTAAGCTGCAGAGTTTGGGCTAGCCTAGGATTCCGCATTCTTCACCACGGTCTTCCTAAGAATCCACATTATGGATTTTGTGCATGGCATTTTCTGGCAGATGAACCGCAAAAAGAAGACATTCAGACTTCAGACAGTGGAGCCACCTCTTCAACACCAAGAGCCAGCTGATTTCAGCATCCTGAGTTTTCTGCTCTCCCAGACCTTATATGATGCATGAACTTTGGAAAGAGAAGAGACATCCAGACTCAAAAAGAAAGTAATCAGGAGACACACTGAAGACTTGAGGAGCCCCAGGTCCCCTGCCCCACACCCAAGAGTGCCTATCCAGACTAGGAACAGAGCCTGTAGGGCAGCTGCTTGGAACTATGACCATCACTGTTCCTGGTGTTCATGCCACAGGAAGGTGAGACCAATCCTACAACAATAGGAATAGTAATTACAACAGCAGTATTTATTGATATTTTTCAGCAA